ACTTCATCAACGACAATGAATCGGTCGTCGTCACCACCGTACTATGCATCAGTGTTTGGAGACGATTTATAGACGTCTGTAAAGTTGCGGCGTTTCCTTTCACATTCACCACCGATGCTGTGAGACCCAGAATGCGTGGACGATCACCTGAAACAACTCGCTACCTCACAGTGTGAAAAAAAATTATACAGTGAAAAATAAATAAAAATTACTTAATACCACATATACGACAGTAAATCATGGTTTATAAAAAATAGACAAAAAATCTGCTCACTAAATAAAAATACAAATATGGTATATAAAAAGACTCAACACCTTAAATGAGATACTGAGTCAACTGCAATGGATTCACAAGCTGAAGACAACAGAATTTATTCACTTTCTCCATTTATAATCTCAGAGTAATTTATATAAATGTTAACACTATGACTACTATTGGCTACATACTTAAAGCATGTAAAGCGGTGTATAAGAAACGAAAAGTATATGGTCCATCAGTCGATGACTGACCATCAGCGAAGTTTAGGGTCGTGCCTCACGGGCCTCATTCGAGGTAGAGGTGCATTGACTTCGGAAGTCCAGCTATTCACAGCGGTTGCTGCGTGTGGAGCCAGAAGGTGCGTTATTTGCCCATGCTGCCGGCTAAGTAGTGTTTTGGGCGAAAGGAAATACAAGGCTCATTTACTCCATTTACAGTTCGTACCACGTGTCACGGTTGACATTGTGATATAACTGCATGATTAATGACTCTCTGACATGCCTATTCAGCCAATGACTGTCGTCCATAATGCCGGCGCACTCTGGCCATCGAACAACGTTTCCTTCATTGCCGTATGTTGAGAACAAGGCTTTGTTTTCTTGCCGGATGCCTATCTTTCAAGTGTACTTTGCGTTCGTCCGCAATCAATCATCTCCACCTTGCCAGGCGGTCTTTATACTTTGAGTGATGGTGTTTCCGGTTTCTCACATGTAATTTTTCTCGCAGTTACAGGATAATTTGTAAACCAATCCTAGCAAATTATAATTATCAGA